TCTCTTTGTACTTTCTCAGTGTCCTTTTTTTTTTTCTTCTCGCACTCTGCCCACACACTTGCACCAAAACCTCCAAACGCTTCACAGTGTTTTGAGACATTTTCAGGAGCGACATCGGTTCAACAAACACACATAAACTACCCGTCTCATCGCCTGACCACCCACTTCTGCAGAGGAGAAATAGAATTCTGCCACCTTCAATCATGTAACAGACAACACGTCCTGGTTTGCCACATGTCAGGACCACCACACACACACACACACACACACACACACACACACACACACACATCCATCTTCCTGCAGCAATTCCTGGAAACCCACACTGGTACGTCAGCGCTAACCTGCACTCCAGTGCTTTTAGTTAGCTGTGCTCTGGGTTCATTGCTCTCTACTGTCAACCGCTCATCCCACTCTGAGTGGAGAACAGCATGTTAGGGTTTCAGTCGGGGCACAGTAGAGATTCTCAGCACTTCCTGTTATTAATGATCTACCCATTCATCTCCACTCCCACCCCGGAGAAGGAAGGAGAGAGTGGAGTCTCACTGCTTTAAGTAGCTGTGACAGTGGAGTTTCCATCCAAGTATGTTTATATGAATTAAGATGAATTGATTTTCAATGGCTGAGGGGAAATGGGAAACTTTGACTTCATTTCCTCACAGTCCTTTACACTTGAGACTCAACGTGTGTGACAAATGGAAATGTTTTTGTTGGAGAACTGCTAATCTGCCAAGCTTCCACGGGCATTAGTTTGTGCGTTAGCATATTCCTGGGCGCAAATGCCTTTTGTTTTGTCTTCTGAAAGTACCAGCTCAAAACATCATCAAAACTTAACTAACATACTCAATTCTTCAGAGGCTCTTCAAAGACGCTGGAGCTTTTCTATTGCTTTCTGTTTCTTTAGATCAAAATTCATCTGATTCATCTATTTTTAACATTTCAAGTTCTTCTAAAATCCCTATCTTCTGGCTCTGCCTTTAAAATTGTAGTGGACGACCAAGATTATATAGAATGATGCTAGTGGGTATAAACTGTTCTGTTTCAGATTTAGCGCAATTAAGCAATTAGGACAGACATGATGGGTACTGTGCTTCATACAGTCATATTTAGAAACCTATTGTACATGTGTAAAAATGTACAGGGGACATTCTTGCCATGCTTCCATACATCCAACTCTATTCTGGGAGCTGCGTGGTTTTTCCATACGCTCTCATTTACGTTGAGCTTTCAACTCGATTCCTCCCCTACACTTAGCAGAACCTCAGCGCTCTGCGTGCACATGCTGCAGTGCGACCGACCTCTGCTGAAATAAGATCAATCTTAGCTGCAGCGGGATGTCACTAAAAAGATAATGAGAGATGTGGTTGATGCAGCGCTTGCCACTGACATGGCATTAGCATCATCTGTCTGGGAGATGGGATGACGACAGATATGGAATCAATCAAAGTTAGCAGCTGATGTATAATCACAGTCAGCCTTGTCTGCATCTGTGGATGAAAGCTGGATGTAGTTAGTGAAGCTCCTAAATTTGAAGACAACCAACTGGAGTGAAAACAGGGAGAGAAAGATGAGTTTACTGATTTTAAACTTCAGGAACTTGCTAAGGCTTCCACAACAATAGTAGCCCATAAAAGTTTTTTGATTGTAAGTAAATTTCTGTATCATGTATTCACTATCCCAACTACCAATCACATTTAGTTTCACTGGCTAATAATGTTGCATTTGCATCTTTACTAAACTTTCTTTACTGCCTTATCTATGATTGATGATCAATTCTTGGATCTTTTAGGAGAATTTTCACAGTAATTAAAAATAAAGGTTAAATTATACAGCAGACGGAAAGAGTTTTTTCAGCCCTGAATGGTGTCTGCAGCTCTTCAGGCCATGTAGAGCCCCAACAAGCTCCTCCAGACTCAGGATAGTGCAGCCCGTACTCTGAGCTGGTCCTACCGACTAAGCAATATTTTGTGGTTGGGGCCCCCTGGTTCCAAACAGCTCATAGATGGGTGAAATGAGCAGTTTAGGTCGGCTAACTAAGTAATTTACTATTCTCTATGAAACAAGCATCCCTGGATTCTGTGGTTTAAAAAAAATGCAGTTGTATTAGGTATGAGAAGTTGAACAAAATTAATGAACAAGACAAGAATGGCAGTCAGCACAAAACTGAGCATGCCGTTAGTTCAGGCAGGACATGATGTCAAGCTCAGCTCACATCCCAGCTACATCAGCTGATCTCAAACAGCCAATCAACTGATGGAGCAGCTGATTGATGGAAGGGAGTCAGCTGATAGATCACACGATTCCTTTCTATGCAAGCAATAGGTGAATCTCATTCAGGGCGCCCTATTTAGGGCCCGTCCCAATACCCCCCCCTTAGCCCTACCCCTTGGCCCTAGCCCTACATTTGCGCATTCCCGTGAGGGGTAGGGGTATCCCAATTCCTTTTTGCGTGTAGGGGTAGGGGGCATAACGAGGGGTAGCAGGAATGAAGCTAGCCCTTCGGAGCAAGGGATTTCAGATGCTGACTTGCCAGCGAGGGGTAGACGTCGCCATGGCTACCAGCGAACAAGAGATAGGGAAAAAACTTCATACACAGCTAACGTTACCGTCATCAGGTTGCTTGTTAGCTAGCTAGCTCGCACTATCTATCGTCTGTCATCTGTCCTGTTCTGCAAAATTGTCAGACTTTTCACATTATGATAACACGCTAGCTAGTGTAACTATGTGGCCTCGTAATGTTAGCTGGTTAGCTAGCTAGCAGAAGTCCCTTGTCGTCTGTCGTTCATCAAACGAAGCATGATGAATGTGGCAAACGCGTTCGGTAGGATGAATGAGACTCCATTGTAGATGCTGGTTGGAAATGTAGATGGCTCGCAGCTTCCTGTTTAAAATAGTTACGTATGCGTGAACGTAACCGACGCGGTGACATAGTGAGTGGTGTCCCAATTCCTAGGGAAAGATTTCTACCCCTACCCCTCGTTGCTTCATTTTGATGCTGCTCTGTGTTGTTCCCAGGGGGGTCTTTGCTGCTGCTCGCTTTGTGTTAGGCTTTCCATGTAGGCGCATGAAAGGGCAGGGAGGTTTGCTCTCTCTGCTTCAGGCTTTCCACATAGACACATGGGAGAGCGGAGGGGTGTGCTCTCTCCACCTTAGGCTCTCCATGAAGGTGCATGAAAGGGCAGGGAGGTTTGCTCTCTCCACCTTAGGCTTTCTGAGTAGGCCCAAGGAAAGGCAGAGAGGCCCCAGAACAGAGCCATATCGCCAAATATAATACTGCAAATGGAAATAAAGTTTTCTTTGACTTAAGTGTTTCTGACTGATATGTGATAATGCTATAAGTATCTTCACAAGCTATTCTTCAACAGTTTGCATACACTGCAGCCCCTGATTTAAGTGAAATAAATTAATAAATTACATTTGGAAGTAGGTTATTTGTACATTTATGTGAGCTTATGCGGATATTTTCATTACCCAAATTGGTTCAGTGCCATGTGAAGTGGCAGCATGTTACAATGAAGGGGGCCATTAAACCAAATCAGCCTTAGGGCCCCCAAAGTTCTAGGGCTGGCCCTGCTGATACTGTATGTAGCCTGAGAGGTAAAACCCGGGCCCAGAAAAAGTCCATAAAAACACAAGTTGCTGCTTGTAAAGCTTTTGTTGTGAGCCAACAGTAATAACTGAAGGTGGTCCAGATGGGCTTATCAACAGTTTTATCAACTCAAAGTGAAACTGAGTACAAATCTTTGATAATGTTTGCTTTTGACATACGGTATCATGATTTAATTACTAAACAATCGTTACAAAAGGAGCATGTTATTTTCCCAAAAGCTACAGAAATAACCCATAAAGTAAATTTATCTTAATCAGCCTCCCTCTGCTTCTTGGAGACTTTTCTCCTCCATAAAAATCACACTCTTCTGTGTCAGAATGAATTCCAGAGCTCCTGTGTTTGTATAATAATGTAAATATTCAGAATCATTCACAATCACCTCAGGACACAGTCAAGCTGTTACACTCTCAGCTCTGTCTTCAATGGGAAACTATTTGTGATTTATTAGACTTCATTTCCAGTCAGTTTCTACAAGCCCGTATAATATGAAGAGCTTGGCATCAGCAGTATACAGTGTAAAGTCAGCTGGCACTACGGGCCTGTTTTTAGTGAAATGTAAAAGTTTCAGATAATGATTTTCCCCCGAAAAATAAAACTGATATCGACAAAATTCCAAAAACTTTCTCCACAGCAGTCCAGTCAGCCGCAGTTTGTTTCACATGAATAACACTTCACTGTTATCTGCATGAAACAAGTGCTGTGGTCGCCTGGTTTGGCTCGGTGGCCAGAACAGGCTTTTCAAAGTAAACACATAACTCACAAACAAAGCCCAGATGTGACCCAAATGAACAGCTGCCCACATCAGCCACAAAAAAACCTGTAACCACACTAGATGAAGTTAGGTAGGTGCTAAATGCTACGCCCAAACGAGAAAACAAACACCACCGACTCTTCGTTCAGAAAGGGGGAAAAAAGTGGCGAAGAAGTGGATCAAATGAACGAGGAATGAGGTGAAAATGAGGTGGTGATTGATTAAAGAAGGAGATAATGAACAAGGGGGCAGAGGGAGGAAGAAAGAAGTTGGCAGGGAGAGAAAGAGGCGGCATAGAGGAGAGATGGTCATGCAGACATGCAGCTGGATGAATACAAGGCCTCTGTGTCAGTGCTCTGTGTGTGAGTGTGTGTGTGAGAGTGTTCAGAGCTGTACTGTAGTGCTGAAGCCAGGTCTAGTTGGTATTTAGAAAGGGTTTGCACGCAGATCTTTCACACAGACCTAACCCTTATCCTGACTGGACTGAACTGGCTTGGAAACGCAGGGCAGCACATCAGAGGCAGAGAGGGTATAGGGAAAAACACCGAAAGGTCAAAAAGGGGGAAAGTGGAATAAAAGAGGAGACAGAGTGAAATGGGAAATGTCAGACAGATATATACTGTAGAGAGGAAGACTTACTCTTGGTGCAGGGGGTCCGTGGTCATCCAGATATGTGGATTCACCTGCAGAGACAAGAATGTATACGTTACGATTCTGATAAACCCACTGTACACTCTGAGGACCATCCATGAGATTAAAGGAATACTTCACTCCAAATGACCATTTGTATATCAATTGCTCACCCCGTGTTACGTTGAATTTGTGAACAAAACTTTTTTGTCTCATATGCCTCCACAGTGAACAAAGAATCCAAACACTAAGAAAACTACTGATGAGCTGTGTGAGATTCATACTTCTGCACCACATCAACACCATACTTACAGTGTAGACTCTGTGTCGACGTAGAGCTTACACCATACCTTACGCCGTAGCCTCATGTGCACCTCCCCAGAAATGTAACTATACGTTGACAATAGAGACAATAAAGCCTCCACAAAATAGCATTTTAAGTCTTGTGTGTGATTTATCCTGGCTTCATATGAGCAGAGGAAATCTCCGCTCGTTGCTAGGCTAATTTATACAATGTAAAATGCCGTAGGCTTGTGCTAATAATGTTAGCATGTTATGTTTGTTTGGAAAATGTGTTTAGCATAAGACAGTTGTTTTGTCAGTGAACCTTGTGAGCTGTAATGGAGCTGAATTTTGTAACGTTACCTTTATTAAATGTTGCTGCTGTCCCTGGCTTCATATGAGTTGAGGAAAAGTCTGCTAGCCACTAGGCTAATTTATACAATGTAGAATGCCATAGGCCTGTGCTAAAAACATTAGCATGTTGTATTTGTGGGAAAAATGTGTCCAGATAAAGACGAGTGCTTTGTCTGTGAATGCTGCAAGCTATAGCAACGTAGGCCAACTGCGTAGGCTACGGCGTCAGCTCTATGCACAAGTATAAATCCCACTTTAGAGTAAAAGGGGTCCATGCTTAACAACAGCAAAACTGTATTAAAACATCCATTCACAAACTCTCACACAACTCATGTAGTACAATCCAAGTCTCATTTATCTTGTCGTATGCTCAGTACTTCACAAACCCACGCCTTTTCACTAAAACCTTATGATTTAAAACTGAACTGACGGTGAAATTTATCTACGCTGCCTCAAATCCAGACTCCATTGACAGAAAAATTAATTTTACCTCGCTGAACACAGGAGCTGCTGGTCTACTGCTGCCTCGATTAGTTAGTTTGTGTTTTTTTCTGACTTTTTTTGTGGTCATGTTTTGCTACTCAGTTGCACAGAGCAGCGTGCTTTGACCCCACAGCCAAGGACACACATATGTAACACATACTCATAAAAAAAAAATCACATCTGTGAGGAGCCTGAATGAGGCCATGACATGAATCAGAACATAAAAGAGCAGCTTGACATTATGGAAAACACACTTAAAGAAATACTTAGGACCCCAAATGACCTTTTGTGTATTCATTACTCACCCCATGTTGCGCTGAATTTATGAAGAAAATTTTGTCATTCACGCATGCCTCCATGTTGAATGAAGAATCCAAAAACAGAGACATATATTAATAAATTGGAGTCCGCCTTTAACCACAGCTTCTCAAACAGACAGCTCTTTATGGCAGGGATCTTAACCAAAAGTGAATTTATCTTTGCTCTCTTCAAAGCCAGACTCCATTTACAAAACAGTAATTTTACCTCACTGAACACAGGAGCTGCTGATCTACTGCTGCCTCGACTGGTAGTTTGTTTGTGTTATTGTACGACTTGGGTGAATAAGAACTGACCCTCTGAAACACCTAGGTCGCACAATAACACAAACTAACTAATTGAAGCAGCAGTAGGCTCCTGTGTTCAGCGAGGTAAAATTACTGTTTTTGTCAATGGAGTCTGGCTTTGAAGAGAGCATAGGTAAGTTTAAAAAAAAGCATGTGTTTGGGAAGTACTGAGTGTACGACAGAATAAATGAGACTTGGATTATACCGCACGAGTTGTGTTAGAGTTTCTAAACAGATGTTTTTACATAGATTTGCTGTTGTTAAATGCAGACCCTCTTTTACGCCAATAAAGAATAAAGAATTTTCCCTGTCTTTGGATTCTTCGTTCACCAGAGGCAACAATGTTTTCTGCATGAATTTGGTGTTACATAGGGGGAGTAATTGACATAGAAATGGTCATCTGGAGGGGGGGAAGTATTTCTTTACCTTAAAAGAATGAATGGGCATCAAAAAAAGCTACTTCACATTAGCATGGTCTCTACAAATAAGCAGGTATTTAAACTGTGTGTTGCTGGTTTGGAACAAAGTCATCTTCTCAGTCAAACAATTTACCCACTTTAATAAGGCATGAAAATCCAAAGCAAATCATTTTGGCCATGTGGAATTTTCCAACTAACTAAAAGGTCTATTTATCTGTTGATAAGGACATCCTACTTCTTAAATACAAAATCCATAAAAAAAACGCAGTGAAATAGCTGAAACATGCTGTCATGGAAAAATCCTTCAAAATGAAGGTATCTGAATGTCATCATGTAAGTAATTGTATGAACGTATGATTCATACATGGTCACGGTCAAGGTACTTTCGGCCTCAGAGTCCTTCACTGTCTGCATGCAGACATGTGAGGAGGCTCCAGAGCATCTGAAGGTTAAGATACTGCGAGATGGAGACCTTGGAGATGTTTAGATTCCAGTGTTAGTCACGTCTGTCTGTCAAAAATGAATTGCACTATATAACCCTGAATCATTGTTGTGATACTTTAAGCTTTTGGTACGGCTGTTGTACCAAGATTCTTCTCTGACGTCAGATTTGTGCTGTCATCAACTGTGACTCATTGAGTTTATTTTATTATTCATCAAAATGAAGACTGATCGAGGGTACACATGTTTTTCCCCCACATCACGTGAACTTCAAACACATAGAATGAACATTTTTTCTATGGGCAATTACGTCACTTTATGTGCAATATTCACAGCCGTACTATGTGCAGTTTGTTTTATATTTTTACTGAGGATTGGATGGTTGAATGTATAAGAATATGTAGTTTTAACTGTCAACTCATTACAGGAGGAGCACTCCTAATTTCATTGTATTTTTTTAAGGATACAATGAACAGGGCTGCTTTTCTTGCTCATTAAAATACTTTTTTTCTTTTCGATACTGGTGGCTCTTTAACTCTCCCATGTGTCCGACTGGAAACATGAAAATAAGTTAATGTCCCCAACCTGTTGCAATAAATGTACTATTATTTAAATCATTTTTAACTATACAGCAGATTTAGCAACAAAACAAGCAAATAAAATATCAATATCAAGTTCTTGTTTTTGCAAATGAATAATTAAAGTTTTAGGCAATAAAAAGGACCCAAGATTTTCTCATTAATAGTAAAGTTGTGTGCAGTACCCTTTTTCCATTGACACTCTTGGCCTTGCCAAGTAAAGCCATGCCATGCCGATTGGTGTTTCCATTGTCAGTTTAGACGCGCAATGCTAAGCCGCCCTGGAGATGGACCTTCTCAGGAGTAGGACCAAAGGCTGGGCTGCCCTCTCTCAAACTGGTAGCGGTGACGTGTCGCCTACCACAGCCAACCAGCAACGACCCCCGTTTGGAGTTTAGTTTCTCTCCTGCGTCCTGTTTTTACTTTAGATATCTGCTTTATTTTACTGTTTCGTGTTCGCTATCAGCCATGTGTGAAGTTGTGTGAAGTTGCTGCTTGAAAACTCAACATTTCCTTATTTTGCTGCTTCACAATAAAAGTTTTTACAAAATAAAATAACAAGCGGGAAGACTAATAATACAGCAGGGAGGAAAGTGAAAGCAGAAGCAGCCACAGTGAGGTGTTGATGAAGAGCTGCAGACAACAGGCTCTTACTGCACCTCTGCAAACAGCTCACCTCCAACAGGTAAACTTCTTTTACCTGCCCTGCTGTGGGAAAAACACTTGCAGCAAAAATAAGAGGGGACTTTAGCCACTGATCAGCACTCTGCTGTTGTATCCATCCATCACCGCTCCTGCCTGACTCAGACTTTCGCCACCTTAACTTTCGTCCTTTTCCTGCCACGTTTCACCACCAGCGGCCATAAAACTATAACACAAGTCACTGCACAAGCACCAGATTTCAAAGACCTTGAAGTGAGACCCGCTTCAGTTTAAGACACACCTTCAAAAAGGCAGTCCTGTTGTAATGGAAATGCAAATCCCTGCTGTGCTGGGCTGACGGCCAAAGCCAAGCCAGCTCATGCCTGTCGAAAAGGGGCACAAGACGCCGTGTCATAGTTTGGTTAGGGTTAAGTTAGCTTCACATATTTTTCTTCTCTTCTATCTTGTATGTTTTACAGTCTAGAACTTTAACTCCATTCCACATTTTGCCCCCAGCTTCACCCTGCAGTTCAGAAGCTGCTCTAAACAACAGGTGCCACTTCACTCCGAAACCCCAACACAACAGCATCTCTCTCATCTGCCACTGTCGCCCACAGAACACAGCGCAGCTCTTCTGCTTTAAGTCTGAGGATGTCACAAAGACGGTTACAACCTCTTTATACAGTATATCAAACACTGTGAGGCTGCTTCATGAAGGAACAATGGAGCTCATTCAAGGCCGCCCCACTCTTCGGATCTGTGCCTGCTTTTTCTGCCCACTCTTTAAATCCAGGCCCTGGCTTCAGACAGCGGCCTTTTCTTTGGCCCATCCGGACGCACAGAGACGCAACACTCTCCCATCACATTTACAACATTCAGGTGGCGCTCACAGGAGAGAGAGAGAAAGACAAATTGGAGGGCGCGGGGGGAGTAAAGCTATAAAGAGAAGAAATATTACATAAGAGAACAATCTCTCCTTGTGTCTCTGAAATGCGATCCAACGCGCAGATGAAAATAGCAAGAGTTGATGTGCGAACACACACATCGCTTTATGAGCAGCCAAAGTTTCCCTCGTGGCACACACTTAAAGATGTTATTGTATGCTTGTGCTGGAAGTGTATTGTATGATTTTGTGAGTGCTGTTTATACTTAAGATAGTGGTGTGTAAGCTTTGAGTAATTAGCCTTACACTGAGATCCAATCTGCCTCTGTTTGGCTCTGTTACAGTATCACACACACACACACACAC